ACAAATTATTTCATAGCGGGACGGAGCTGCCGAGAGCGCGCCCGGGCTGGCCACGGGGAGACGCGCAGTGCTCCCACCGGCACGGGGGGCTCGGGGGGTGGAGAGGCAGGGAGGGGGGCACCAGCACTCAGGGCCAACGTGTTCCCAAAGCTCTTGTCCCCATCGTGGAGACGTCGTGTCCCCTTTTTCTTGGCCCCCTATCCATGGTGGTGCCCGGTCCCCCCAGCCTTGCACCATGTCTCCAAGGTGGGAGAGGCTCCGTGCGGTGCTGGGGGACTGCAGCAGCCCCTGACCCCCCCCTGGGCTTGGTGCCTGCATCCCACAGCCCTGCCCCAGCTGGGCACAGGCGATGCCCTGGTCCCAGCACGTGGCTTCCTCTGGGAAAGGGAGGTTGTGCAGGGCCCCGGGCTTCCCTTCCCAGGGAATTCAATGGGACAGAGCCCGGGGCCCCCGCTCCAGCGCCCGGCCCTGCTCACGCACTGTCTGGCCCCAACGCCGGCGCGCTGGGTGCCGCAGGATGCGGCCCCACACCGGCACCCATTGAAACGGGCCCTGCTCCACCTCCCGGAGGCGACCCGCTGACAGCCCCAACAATGGGGTGGCGGATAAAAATCATAAAGCAACAAGTGCGCTTCCCCGGGCAGCGCCGGCCCCCGCAGCCCCCTCCCTGCTCCCGTGCGGTGGGACCCGATGGAGCCAACGGGGCCGGGAGCTTTGCCAGACCTCAGCGGGTACCAGCACCCCAAAAGGACCCCAAAAGCACCTTTGGGTGCTGGTGTTGTGGGGCAAAAGGGGCCGGGGAGCAGGAGCGGAGCAGCCCGGTGCTGTGCTTTTGCGCCTCTGCTCCTCCGGCCAGACCTCCTCGGAGCGTGACCCCCGTAAAACGAAGCAGCAGCTGCTCAGAGGATAATAAAACATTATTTTTTTTTCTCCCCCTCTTTTACTGCACGGAGGTTTTAGCAGCACAGAGGGAGCAGCAAACCTCCTCTCGCACTGATGCTCGGTCACGGGACGCTGCCCTCTCCCCATGGGACGCGTCCCCAGCACCCATGGGGGCGACAGCACCTGGGGGCATGGATCCAGCCCACGCCTGCAGCGAGGAGCAGGGATGAGCACGGGGAGGGTGAGAGCCCCCTCTGGGGACCGTGGGTGCTGTGGATCCCCCCCCGGCCGAGCAGGAGCAGCCCCCCTGGGATGCGGGGTCTCAGCGCGGCGGCCGGCCCCGGCGGCAGATTTACTAGCGAGGAGCCAGGGGTGTTTATGGCAGGCTGGAATGTGTGCTCCGAGCACGTGATGAATTTACAACGTGCCAACGAGTGGATTTATTTCGAGCCCACTGTCAGTGAATTAATCACAGCAGCCAAGGAGACCTTTGGAGGCACGGGGCGGGGAGAGGTGGCACTGGGGACACCGGGGGGCACGGGGACGGTGCCCGGCTCCGGCTGCGCCAGCTCCGTGGTGCAAAGCAGGGGTGCAGAGCTGCTGCCTCGAGGAGCTGGTTTGAATTAGGTGCAGCTCAGGAAGCCAGGAGAGGAGCGTGCTTCCCAGCTGCTCTCCCATTCTCCCATTCCCTCTCCCCAAGCAGCCGGGTCTCGTCTCATCCCCACCTGCCCACCGAGCCCCATGGGTGCAGCGGCCACGGGAGTGCTCCAGGAGTTCTCCAACACCTCCCCCAAAGCGAGCTGGGAAAAAGTGCTCAGGAAAAAGACATCCTGCAGGGTTTGGTCCCCAGATCCCACCCCAGCACCACGGGCAGGATCCCTGCCACCAGCAGCTCCCATCGCCCTGGGTGAGAGCTCCCTGAGCCCAGCCCCATGGGAGCGCAGGAGCAGACGCCGCCGGTGCTCACGTGAGCGTCTCATCCCTGGAACCGCGCTGAGCTATTTCCAGCAATATCCTGCGGCAGGATTTGCACGTGCCTGTTTTGAATTTGCTGTGTTTAACAGTGCTGTGGGTCACTGCAGCCCGTGCTCCCATCCCGCAGCAGGATGCCTGTGCAGGAGGGGACGCAGCCCTGCCCTCGGGGACACCGCAGCTCTGGGGCTGCGCCTGCTGCCCCTGGGACCCCCGCAGCAGCCTGGGGACGGAGCCACCTCTTGCTCCTGCTCCTGCCCCTGCACCGTGAGTGATCCCCAGCCACCTTTCTCATCATCCTCCCCCTAAATCCCAGCTGCATTTCCAAAGCCGCTCTGCTCAGGGCTCCGTGCCCAGGCAGGGATGCTCAGCATCAAGCAGGATTTTCCTCTGACATCCCCATGGATGCAGAAGGACGGGCGGGCACCAGCAGCCCCCCAGGACCCCTTGCACCCCGGGCAGGTCCCGCATCCCGCAGCATCGCCCCTCGGGGCTGCTCCAGGGGGAGCTTTCACCTTAGCTCCCCTGTGGTTTCCATCCAAAGCCCCATTTACAAACAGGGGTCCCGGGGCCGCCAGCTCCCACCTGGGCTGGCCCTCTGCAGAAAAGGGAGCCTTGGAAATGTTAGGTGAGTGCAGTTTTTCCATGCATATGTATATAGGAGGGGAGGCGGCTGCCAAAGTAAATACAACCCTTCCCTTTCCAAAAATGTCCTCCAGGAATTGTAAAGGATCCTGGAGCAAGAATTCCGTCTCAGATCCTTTACGCTTTCTATCGGGGGAAGCATATAAACCAGCTTCTTTTTAGCTCTAGCAAAGTCAACGTGCTGAGAGTGTTTTTTTTATGACATGCACCAAAGGCGCTGGGAGCCGGAGCCACGGCCATGTGTACCCCGGGCAGGGCTTACGCAGAAAAACAATCCCAGTAAAGAGCTTTATAGCCACTGAGGAATGTGGAACCTCCACCAGCCCGGCCGAAGCTTGCAAGGCTAATTGCTTTGGGATTTACTCTTTTTTTTTTTTTTTGGGGGGGGGGGGGGGGGGTTGAGTCTCCGTGGTCGCTGCCTCCGAGGGTCCCAGCCGCCCTTGCGGTTCATTAGGATGCTGAGCGGGGAACTGTGGATGCTTTGAGGAGAGCTGCAGAGCTTGTGGGGTAAGGGAAGGAGCCGTGCGGTTCCTGCCTTCTCCCCTTACAGCCCCGGGGCTGAACCTTCCGGGGGCAGAGGCACCGGGGATGCTCCTGGAGGACGAAGCATCCCAAGCATCCTCGTGCCCAGCCCGGGGTGCGCAGCCCCAGCCTCCTCCCGGGGCTGTGGTTTGCTGTTTGCAGAAGTTCCCCCGAACCCCCCGCTGCTCCCGGGTGCTGTGCCCGTGCTGAGCGCCTGCCCCTGCCCGGCTGGCAGCCGTGGTTTTTCTCTGCTGATCTTCCCTCGCTCGTTTCAGTGACTTTGGAAAATGGGATTTTGGCTCTTAAATCGTTCAGGGGCTTTTGAAAATTTGACTCTAAATACTTTCCGAAGTGCATTTGTATGAAGTAATTCTCTCCAACCTCCCACAGTGGTAGTCAGATTGCATTTAATCCATCACTGAATGTTCCCGAAGGCTGGGATCTGGCACCACGCTCCACACGGAGCCGCAGCTCACCCCGCGCCGGGCCGGCACCGAGCTCGCTCCCCTCGCCTGCTCCCACCCGGGGCTGCTCCCACCTGCTCCGGGACCCTCCGGGACCCTCCGGGACCTCGCACCCTGCTCCTCACACCGGGGGCAAGGGGCAGCGGGGGGCACGATGCTGCGGGGTCATCCTGCGTGGCCCCCTGTGGCAGCATCACCTGCGTGATGCCGCGGGGACCCCAGGTCCCCATCACAGCCCAACCCAAGCAATCCAAAGTGTGTGACACCCCCAGGGCTCGGTGTCACCTGCCGTGGGGACATTTCAGAGCAGTGACCGGCATGGCTGAGGATTTGGGGTGGGCAGGAGCGCTCCTGGCCCCCTGCTGCCCCACCAAGGCACGTGGCCCCCTCCCGCACGCGCTGCAGCTTTTCCTGTCAGGCACCGAAGGGCTTGTTTTCAGAGCACAATTACCCAGCTTGTGGAAACATGGAAACGATATTCCGACGCGCAGGGCTGATTTGATTATGCCCGTGACCCACCGAAATTAAGTTAAGGCTTTTTTTTTTTTTTTTTTCTAGCCCTAGATTGAATTATTTCTCCCCCTGCTCTCTCGCTCTTTCTGTGCGGAGCAGCAGGAACGGCTGGGACAGCAAACCCCAGAGCCCCGTGAGACATCCCCTGGGCGCAGCAGGGTGCCGGGCACCCAAATCTGGGTGCTGCCGCTGTGCCAGAGCCCTCGCTGGCTTGGAGAGCCAGGAGCAGGTCCTCAGCATGGAGCTTTTCACCCTCCTGGGAGGCCGGGGCCACCGCAGAGCCCTGGCACGTTGGCGGGCGCTGAGCTGCCAAAGGTCAAGGACAGAAGAGCTGCTAAATCCCGCGCTAAGCCCGGCTTCCTTCTCCCACCGGGGAGCAGCGCTGCCGGCAGCCGCTCGGCGTGGCCGTGCCCAGCTCCGTGCTGCTGCAGCCAGGGCTGAGCCGTGGGAGCCCCGTCCTGGTGCTGGGGCACGTCCTGGGGCTGCAGTGGCCACGCTCATCTCCGGTGCCCCACGTGCGCCCTTGGGGATGGCACCATGGGGACACTGCTGAGCAAGGAGCGAGTGTCCCTGGTGCTCTGGTGATGATGGGTGGAGGGAAGGAGGTGGCGCATGGCCAGATGGAGCAGGGCAGCACGGGCAGGATGGCACGGGCAGGATGGCACGGGCAGGATGGCACTTATAGGATGGCACTTTTAGGATGGCATGGTCAGGATGGCACAGGGCAGGATGGCACAGGGTAGGATGGCACAGGGTAGGATGGCACAGGACAGCAGGCTCAGGGCAGCACAGCACTCGGCACCAGGCTGCAGCCCAGCGAAGGGGCAGACGAGGGGGCGCAGGGGGAGCGAGCGCGGGGGCGCTGACAGGCGGGAGAGGCAGGCACCAAGCGGGGCCGCAGCCGATGCTTCGCTCTGCGGGACAGAGGAATGTCTGTGCTGCTAATGAGTCTGTTTGGAGAGGAAATGCTTCGCCAGTGAGAGCTCCGGTTAAACAAGGCCGGTCCGTTTCTCCAAGAGCCACCGGGCTGGTGGAGGCCTCTCCGGGCCCTGCCTTGGGGTCTGCAGCGGGGATGGGATGGAGGCAGCACGGGGCAGGGGCAGACACGCACGAGGTGAGCCACAGTGCTGGGATGAGGCAGCCCAGGGCCAGCAGGGTGGCTCCTGGTAGCCACCCCCTTGGGGCCATGGCCCCGAGCAGCAGGTGAGGGCTCAGCCATGGCCAGGGGCAGCCCCCGAGCTGCTCGCTGTGCCCTGGGGATGGGGACCTGCGGTGGGGCAGAGCCTGCTCGGGGCACGGAGGGGTTCCCAGCTCTGTTCCCATCACCCTGAGCTCACCCCGAGCCTGGCACAGCTCGCAGGGAGGCCACACAGCAGCAGGGGCTGTGGCAAGGGCAGCTCCTGCCCTCCTCATCCAGTCCTACAAACCCCTAAATTGGGATAACCACAGCCGTGGTCAATCCCTCCTGCTCTGCCCCACCGGGGCCGTGCTGTGTGGCACCAGCTGCGTCTCACCCAAATCCCAGCACCTCTCCAGCACCCCCGGGCAGCCCAGCACCCCTGTGCCCACCCAGCCCCATCCAGGCCAGAGCACATCAGCATTCCTGGGAGCAGGGTCTGGTCCCGCGGCGGCCGCGATGCGGGGGAAGGCATTGAGGGGGGATTAGCTGTCTGATGCTCCCCCTGGCTCAGGCGCTTAATACGGAAAACAAACAGCCTTGTGCGCCCCGATCCAGACGGGTTTTCTCCATGCCCGTTGCCTGGGCGACCCTAATCTGCCTCCTCGGGCACACCGGGGGCCTGCGCCCCTGGGGTCTGCACCCCATGGGCAGGACACGGGAGGGTTCCCGGTCCCCAGCAGCTGCGGTGGTGGCCTGTGCCAGGGACACTGTGACACCTCTGGCTCGGGAAGGGGCAGCACGTGGTGGCTGGGCAGGGCAGGAGGTGGGAATGGGGCTCCCCGTTGTATGGGTACACGATTCAGAAAGGTGCTGAGCCAAGGGGCAGCAGCGCCCAGCTGTGTGTTGTGGGATTTTTGGGGTGGTGATGTCCCCGATGTCCTCATATCTCTGTAAAGGAGGGAAAATGCTTCCAGCTCACGCTGGCCCCGTGCCTGCAAAAGGTTGTTCTGGGGCAACGTGGGGGCTGCTCCAGCTCCTGGCTGCAAGACGGGCCAAGGAGGGGGAAAGGATTCAGCCCCAACATCCCCGAGCAGCCCTGGAGGCAGGTAGCACCCAGCCTGGTGCTGGGGGGGCAGAGGATGGAGGGGGCTCATTTTCCACCACCAGGGTCGGTATTTCCAGCACCAGCATCCCCAGGGCACAGCACCCAGAGGGGGTTCGGGGTGTGAGTGGTGCCGGTGGAGCATCAGGGAGCCAAGTGGTGCAGGGGGCTGGCTGGGAGGGGTGTGGGGGGGTTGCACTTAGTTATTTTGCACGAAGTCGCTGTAGATGGTTGGGGAAGGGAGGAAGAATCCTGGGCTGGAATTAAGAATAAAAAGAGAAAAAGGGAAAAAATAAAAGAAAAAAAAAGGAAAAAAAGAAAGAAAGAAATGAAAAAAAAAAAAAAAAAAGAAAAAAAAAAAAAAACAAGAAAAAAGAAGGAAAAAAAAGAAAGAAAAAAAAGGAAAAAAAGGAAAAAAAGGAAAAAAAAAGGGAAAAAAAAAAAAAAGATTTTTTTTTTTTTTTTTAAAAGAGGGAAGGAAAAGTCTCCGCAGCCAACCCAGCCCGGCCCAGCCGGCTGCGAGCCGCCCCCTCGCCCCCTCCCTCGGTCCCGCAGTCCCCGCTCCGCCCCGCTCCGCGCCCCCCGCGCCGCCCCGCGCCCGCCGCCAGAGCGGCCCCGGCCCCGTCCCGGCCCCGTCCCGGCCCCGTCCCGCCCGGGGCAGGCAGCGCGGCTCGGCTCGGCTCGGTTCGGCTGCTCCTCCAGCCCCCGCTGCGAGCCTCGGGAGCGCCCCGGCCAAGGTAAGGGCGCGCTGCGCCCCCCCAGCCCGCCCCTGGCTCACCTGGCTGCGGGGAAATGGGGCTGGGGGCTCGGGGGGGGGACCCCATCACCGGACCCTATAAATCCCTGCCCGGATCCTCCTCGCGGTCCTCTCCTAGCCTGCATGCTTCTGGTTCTTTATTTTTCCCTTTTGTCATCCCTTCTTTCCCCCTGACCCACTTTTATTCGCCTGCCTCCTGCGCCCCGAGGACCCGCCATGCGCCATCGGTTATGGGGGGACCCAACTGGACCCCGCCAATACCTGGCCCCAAATTTTGAACTTTCTTATCCCCTGCTGCAAAACACCCTGCTGGGATCAAAAGCGTTCAGGGGCAAGTGCCGAAACCTTTGGGGTTGCCACCACCAGCACCTCGGTGGCGCGATGCCCTTGCCCCATGGGTGCCCGTCCCCTACAGACCCCAACACCCAAGGGCTCCCGGCAGCACCGGGGCAGGTCGCGGTGGCTCGATCCCAAACACCTTGGCAAGCACAAGGTGCTTATTTTATTTGATTTTTTTTTTCCTTTTTTAAGAGCCTTGCTGTTAATTGGCTCCCAATCCTACCGAGCAGTCCCCGTGAGGCACGGCAGGTCCCCCCCCCCGTGCGTTAGCCCCAGGCGAGGCAATAACCCGCTGGAGCTATTTTCTCATCCACGGGCAGCTTTGCTCTAAGGAACATGTTTAATAAATCATAAGGCCGGTGAATTCCTGGGATTTTTATTGCTTCTGTAAAAATGCAGTTTTGATCTGTCTGCGAGGGACACTGGGAAACAAAGCTGCTCCTTTCGGGGGCCGGATCCTGCGAATTTAGGACAGGGACCTGGCAGCGGGGTGGGGGGTGCGGGCCCCCCCAGTGCTGGGCAGCACCCCACCCCTGAGGCTCCCTGTGGTTTTCTGCCTCTGCCCCATCCCTCGGAGGGGCTGAATATTACTGGGGGGGGGACAGGAGCACCCGTGAGACCCCCGCTGGCCCCCACTCAGCTCCCGTGTGCCGCCGGGGCTGGGGGAGCCGACGTGCGCACGGAGCGAAGGCGGCGATGCCAGGGGAAATCGCGCAGCTAGAAACCCAGCCAGGCTGCGGCCGGGCTTCGAATTACATTTTTCCTCCTCGCCCTCTCGCCTGGGGGCAAGAGAAGCAGCGAAAACAAAAGTGCTCCAAAAAACCCCGAGAGAGATCCTTACGGGAAGGATCGCCCCGTTTCCAGCGGGCAGCCTGCCCGCCTGCCCGCACCCCGCAGCCTCACCAGAGCTCGGCCGCGCGGGGCTGCCGCACAGCAGGGCGTGGATTTCCTAACACGCTGGGGCAGAGGAATGAAAAATCAAGAAGTTTTCTTCCTCAGCTCGTTCCAGCCTGCGTGCCAGGGTGCTGAGCTGTGGCTTGAAGGGCACCCCGAGCTCTGAACCCAAGCTGTCAGGAGCTTGGGAAGCGCGCGGCGCCGGAGCCAGGGCGCGGGGTTAGGAGTGCAAGAGGTGCTCGGAGGCGCCCAGCTCCGTCCTGCTGGAAGGATCCCCGTGGGATGCCACCGCCGAGCAGCAGTTTGGTGACCCAGCCTTGTGCTCGTTTCCTGCCATGCCCTTTGTTTCAGGCTGCGCAGAGCCCGGCTGCGGCGGCGGAGGCAGGGGAGGCAGCTTGGCTTTGTACGGGGAAGTGTTTAAACCCCTCGCCCTGATTCAGATGTTCCATTCATAGGAAACGCCGTCGCGCGGAGTGTGAATGGGGACTGCTGGGGGATTTTTACGGCAATAAGCCCTAGAAGTGTCAAAAGTTATTCACACCTTGGTGAAATCAAGGATATTTCTGTCCGGGGCTCTTGGCAGGGGCTCAGCACGGCTCGCGTTGTGTCGGGTTTTTGGTTTCCCATTTGGATACCGGGGTGGGGGGAGCACTACAGCGGCCGTCTCGCCCCGACGTCCCGGTGCTGGAAGTGTCTCAACACCTGGGGGGCTGTGGGGCTGTGCCGGGGGGCGCACGCAGCCCCCCCAGCCCCACAGGGGTCCAGCTGCTGCAAGGCAGCGGGTGCTTCTGTGGGGCATGAGCCCAGCGTTGGCCAGCAAAGGGTGAGCCCCCCCTGCCTCGCAGGAGCCGCAGCAACAATTCAGCAGCCTGGCGTGAGCATGCTGCCCGCCCCGGGGCTGCTCCGCGCCCGCTGCGCTCGGCTCGGCGTTGAGAAATCCCTTCCCCTCCTGGGCCCTTTGGGGGGGTGCAGCTGGGCTGGTACCGATGGCGAAAGTGTCTTGGGGTCAGGCGTGTCCCTGGGGGTGTTGGCATGCTCCAGAGGAGCTGCCAAGTCCATGCTGGGGAGCGTCGGTTTGGGAGGAAATCGGGGAAAAAGCCTCTCGGGCACGGCCCTGCTGCCAGGATGCGCCCTAGGTGCGGGGCCGGTGCCCGCGGGGTGCTCTCGCCTCCAGCAGCCGCTCCACGCAGCGCTTCTGGGCTGCTTCAAGCTGCTGTAAATCATCCCTGAAGGAACCGGGAAGACAGTTTTATGGCTGCCGGGGAGGAAGATTAGCAGGGTGTTGTTTTCAGAGCTGATCCATCACGGGACGCGGGCGCCGCGTGGTGCATCCGCGCGCTCGGCTGCTCGCGGGGGGCGCAGAGATTCCTGCGAGGGGTGAGATAACGACGCCTGCTTTTAATGCTCCGACTCCTCGTGGGATCTTGGGGTGATAAAACCACTTCGTCTGGGCCCCCACGCCCCCCCGGTGCCCGTGCTGCAGCCGGGCTCCCTGCGAGCCGTGCAGGGGAGGCAGCGTGGCAGTGACAGCACGTTGGGCAAGGCCACCTGCGAAATGCATTAACCCCGGTGGAAGGGGCGTGCAGGGCCCTTCCCTTCCCCTTTCTCACACACCCCCTCTGTCATTCTCTCATATTTCAACTTGTCCGCAGCTCGGGAAGCGGCAGAGTTTCCATTGCCTTGCGCTAAAGAAAACGTCTGTGACAACAAAACTGAGGAGCTCGGCGGGGGGAGGGACGAAGAGACGCCAAATTTCACTCGGTTCCCCCCAGGTGCTCCCCCCGAGCCCTTCCCTTTGGAGAGGTGCAGACCCTGGGGCTCCCCGCAGCCTGCCCGGTGCCCTGTGTGCTCACTCACCAGCTAATTACAGAGGTCAATTAATTCAGGGGGCACTGACTCGCA